TTTTTAATTTATAATTTTTTAAAATTAAATTTTTTTTTATATTTTTTATTAAAGTATTTAATAAAGTTTTAGATATATTAACCTTTTGATATCTAAATGGAATTTTATATAATTTTATAAAAGATTAATATAAATTTGTTTTTATTTTAAATAATATAAATCAGTTTTATATTTTATATTAATCTTATTGTAATAAAAAAAATTTCAATAAAAAATTTATTTTTATAAAAATAAATATTAATAAATTTATTTAATACAATTATTATTATTATTATGCAAAATATATAATCATGTAATTATTGTAATTTAATAATTTAATTTATAAAAATTTTTTATTTTAACAAGATTTGTTTTAAATTGTTTAGTTACAGAATTTTGAAACACAATCAAATATCTAATTATAAATTATATATTAATTAATTAATTAATATGATATATAAATAGAAACAAATATTGAAAAATAAAGAAGGTAATCATCTAATTATTAGAACTGGCAATTTTATATATTGTTAGAAGTTAGAGTTGGCAATAAAATTATAGTGCAATTGTTGACATCATAATACTTTTGGACAATAATTCGGGTAGGTTTATAAAATGTAAGTTATAAAAAAACAAATTTGGTGAGTTTGTGAAATTTATTGGATAATGAGAATTAGGTAAGTGTAAAATTTTTTATTTGAGTTTCTTGTCTTTATTTTCTTTATTAATATCATTTTTATATATACTTTTTTTTTACATGCTACATTTATTAACGTGTAAACTGTTTATCATAACGAATTTGACTATTATATAATGATTGTTTAGATGAAAATGTTTATTTGTATAAATGTTTGTCGTAATTTTAGAATCCATGGAAATATGTAATTGTTATTGGACTACTAAGTACAACTATCAAATTTTTCTGCAATCATCGGTTCAACTCAAGAGTTTGACTTTTGACACAAATCACTTCGAAGATACGTTTTTAGCTGCACTTATTGAAAAAGCTGGCAAAAATCTGATGAATTTGTACACTGATGAAGTTTCTGAAAAAATAATAAAGTCCCTGTCTCAATTTTGTCCAAACATATCCAAGTTTACGTTATTTTACAAGGAGAAAAACAGCAGCATATTTATGAATTATTTGAAAGGGTCCAGGATAAGTCAATTAGTCATTAAATCTTGCTGTAGTTCAAACAAATTATTAAGTGTTTTGGGAAAATATGTTCCTTCTAGTTTAGAACAAATATATTTCTATTGCGATTTTGGATCGGTATGTCTCGGAAAATTTTTAACACACTTTAGTTATTTGTCATTTGATCCATTGAAAACTTTATATATTGAGGACATTATGGGTCGTTCTCATAATTATCTTAATGTAATTAATTATTGTACCACATATAGTTTATTGAAAACTGTGGTGATAGCATCTACGATAGATATAGACGAGTCGTTGTATGCTGTTCAGAATATCAGAAAAAAAGGAATCAAATTATTTTACAAGTATCTTAGCTGACATCGTTAGGAAAACTGGCGCTTCTATTTTATCTATGGGATTTATTTTACAGTATACAGAGAAAGAAAAACCCTTTCTAGTATAATTACTTTTCGGTTTTATAATATCAATAATATTTTGTCGTTAATATTTGATTTCGGTGAACTACAGTCAACAGATAAATAAACAAGTCAAATTTAATTGCATTAAATATACGTAAAATGTATAATGCAAATAGTTAATAGTTTATATAAAATCCGTTTTTTACATTATTAAATGCACAAACAACTACTGTATTCTTGTATTTAATGCCACCATAATGTCAACCATCATTAAAATTATAATACCATAACGATAAAGTAAGTTAGCATAATCGAATAAAAACATTGTCTAGCTTAGCTTACCCACTAGATACACAAGAATAACTTAAAGGATACAAGAATTCGTTATCCCAATATCACATCCACAATTCATATAATAGACTTTCGATCCTTTTTTTTGACAAAAGATTTTAAATGTTTTTATGTTCTTACTATTAAAAAATTTTTTTGTTAAACTTTATCAAAAAGTTAGTAGCTTAATATTAAGATAAAAAAAATGTTTCTATTAATATATATTTGATTTTTTTGTATATTGAAATAATTTTAATAATAAATTTATTTTTTTTTGTAATTAACAAAAAATTATAAATTATAAATTACTATTTGTTTGAATTATAATTAAATAATAATATTTTAATACATTCAAAAATCTATTTTATATTTTTATTCTTTATATCTCCAAATACACAAACATATTTTTATTTTAATTAGTTAATTAGTTAATTTTCAAGTTTTTTTAATTACTTTTGTTTTATGCTGTATATTGTAACAGGGAGAAATGGGACGCGACGTTAGTCACATGACCGATCGATGTGACAATGGTAAGTCGGCTGTGATAATTAGGTA